TGATTTAGTCTGAACCTCAATTTTTTTCATTGTAAAATGAGCTTCACAGTACCCACTATTTCTTCTTCTCTACTTGATCCTTATGATGACCAGATGAGATATTTTAGGAAAGTGCTTTTATTTTTAGCTACAAAGCATGATAGAATAATGCTTGCTATCAAAAATTGCAGTAAAAGTCATATCTCTACTAGTGTTTGGATATATCAAGGTTTTCTTTTAGTTTTGATCAGTAAAAATTCATTTACCCTTTCATCCTTCATTTATTCAGATAATACTAGTTGAGAATGTTCCATGTGGCCACTAGGGCTGTGTGTGAGGATACCAGACTCCTGGGAGGTGGTGTGCTGTGATGAACAGAATTTGGGATTCGTGCATATCTGGATGTGAATTCTGCCTCTGAACCTAACCTTAACCTGTATGAGCCTAGTTTCCTCATGTACGGAATGAGGCTGGTGATATATCATCATCTCTGGTGGGTGGCTGTAAGAATTAGTTATAAAATACATAAAGCACCAGGCATTCAGAATATGTTGAATAGGTACAATATTGTGGAGCTGTAAAACCAATATATTTTCCCTTCCGGTAATCCTTAACTCTAAGTTGTCCTGCAGTTTTCATGTTGATTAAAACCAAGAGTGCTCAGCACATAACTCCTTCCACAGACCCCTAGCCTGGGGCAGCTAGGCCTTGAGATTTACTGGCATAGGTAAGGGGAAGAAATGACAGGAGGAGTTCAGGGCAGAAAGGAGAGTAGGAAGGATGTCCCTTCTGAGCCAGTAATTTGGAGGAGAAGAGTATCTAAGGTAGGTGAACAAGCAGTCAGATATATGAAATATGATTTCTCTCCTCCAGGCTCAAATTGAGGGAATGGATATTGGAAGAATTGAGGAGGGAGATAGGAGCAGAAAGGTTTTCACCCTGCTTGCTGTTTGGGACCCTGAGAGGATACCAGATCATAAAGAAAACCTGGACTCCTTATTCATACCTCACCCCTCCCCTTCCATCCATCTTAATGAAGTGTAATTTATCTATCTTTTCCCTATGGTTAGTACCTTTTGTGTTCTGTGTAAGAAATGTTTGTAGATCCTAAGATCGTGAAGGTTAATTTTTATCATTCTGCTTAAAATTGGGTTTGTGTTTGATGTGAGGAAGCAGTCAAGATAATTTTCAAAATATGGGTATTCACTTGATCCAGTGCGGATCACTTGATCCATTTATTAAAAAGGCCATTCTTTCTCCATTGATTTGCAGTGGGACATTTGTTGAAAATCAGTTGTTGCCAGACTGTATCAATTGGTTTCTATTCTTACATCAATTCCATATTATTTTGATTAATGTAGCTGTATGAAAAGTCTCGACAGCTGGTAGTAGAAGTCCTGATTTTTGATCTTCTTCTACAAGAAAATTGTCTAGGATATTCTTTGGCATTTCCATTTCCGTATAAATTTTAGCATCTTTTCAATTTCTAGACACACACACATGCACAGCTGCTGAGAGTTTGACTGGGATTGCACTTAAGCTATAGTTCAATGTGGGGAAGCATTTATGTTTTCCTAATATCTTCCAATCCATGACATGGTATATTCCTCAATATGTTTAGGTTTTCTTTAGTTTATCTCACAAATATATTAAAGAGATCTTTCATAGTCTTTTTAAGATATAGTCTTAGGTATTAAGGTTTTCTGATGCTAAAATATATGGTATTTCTTAAATTTCATTTTGTAACTTTTCGTTGATGTGTATAACACATCAATACAGTTTATTTTTGTGTATTGTGTCTTTTCCATATTCTTATTTTCTTTTTTTTTTCAATTTTGTTTGTGGTTCAATCCAGATATTTTCTGTTAACCAACTTCCTGTTAACTAGGCAGTCCTTTGTTCTCTAATGCTGTGAAACCCATCTGTTGAATATTTAATATCACATAATACATTTTCTAGTTCTAGGATTTCCATTTGATTTTTTTCATAGATTCCAATTATCTGGTAACATTTTTCAGTAGTTTTTATATTTTTATAATGTAAAATATTATAATAGATATATTATATCTATAGATATAGATATCTTAAAATTAGTATTTGATGACTGAAATATCTATATAATTCTGGGTGTCATCCTATTTTATGAGCTTTTGTCTTTTAGTTTTTAATGATTTCTTTCTATTTCCTGTTGTGCTTGTTAATTTTGTATTGAATACCAAATGTTTCAAAAAGAGCAGAAGCTCTGAATGATGCTATTTTCTTCTGGATAAGATTCTGTTTGCTTCCGGAAGGCAAATAGATTATGGGTAGATCGTCTAGGTGCAGGGGAGTCAGGTCTGTTTCTGGCTTTCTTATTGGTTGTGCACTTCAGGAGTTTCAACTGAGGCTTAAAGGCTTATCAGGGCCCCTTCTCTTTTGCATGGCCTCAACTCATTTTTTTTTTCTTTCTAGCATTTTAAGGAATCAAATTTCTGCTTCGATTTTACCGTCTGAAAAGTTTCTCCTTTGCTTCTCATTATTTAACCCCTTGCAAGTACAACCTAGGGGGCAGGAATATCTACCTCATGTCAATTCATTTTCCCTCTTCCCAGGGTCTTCACTTTGACTGGAGAACTTTGCCATGTCAAGGAAACCTAGCTTCCTTAATTTCTCTCAGATGTCTTCAAATAGTTGTTATTGTTGTTGTTAATTTATCCAGCTTTTATAGTTGCTTTCAGCAAGAGGTTTGTCTGACACGAATTACTCCATCATAGTCAGAAGAGGAGTACTCCTGTTTGGCTTTTAGTTATTATTAAACATTACTATTAATTACTATTAAACATTTTTAAATGTTAGAGATCCATTAAACTTCAAGATAAAAATGTAAAATATTTTGTGTCATTTTTTTTCTGCCTTCACATTTTTAAGGAAAAGATTGCAGACAGCAAAATATGCAGATCTTAAATGTGCAGTTCCATTAGTTTTTGACAGAATGAGTATTACTTGTGTAACTGTGTCATTTTATTTTTAAATGTATTTTCTTTACATTATCTTACTTAATCAACACCAAAATAGATTTGGCATGATAGTCAAGATTCATAAATCAAACAAATTTTCATCATTTAGAATTTCACAAGTTTTATTTAAGCAACTGTGTGAATTACCATTTTAATGCTGTGCTCCCTGCACCAGCACACAAACGTGCCTATCTCTTAGAAAATGAATAAATGTCTTCTGGATTGAAGTAAATTATTCACATAATTTTAAAAATTAAGTTGCTCAAGTCATTGCCTTCAATAATAAATCACTCTAAGTGTGGCAATTTTGTTTGAGCTATTTTTAAGCCTCTTTTTATTATAAAGGTAAATCATTTTTATTGTTCAAAGATGGAAAAACATAGAAAGGCTTCCCAAAAGTTTCCTTGCCAGCAAGTCTATTCTAGATACAACCAATATTTATAGGGTGGTATAATAATAATCTCTCTGGAATTTTATGCTTATAAATTTCTTAAATAAAATATACTATCACACATTTTTATAAACCGTTCTCTTAAAATTTGTCAAAAAGCATTTGTCTCATGTCAACAATTACACTTCTACCCTTCCCTCTTAAATAGATGCATGCAGTGTATTGTATAGAATTTACTTTAAAAATACCCTATTCTTGGAAATTTGTATTATTTCCATATATTCACCATTAAAACCACACTGTGTTATACAGCCCCAAAGTGAAAAAACTTCCTGATCCACTCATTATTTCCTTAGGATGAATCTGTATCAGTGCAATAGTCAGCGCTGTGCGCATTTGTTTAAAGACTTTTTTTCATATAGCAAGTTTTCCCCTGAGAAATTCTTTGTCAATTTGTGCTTCATCAGCTGCAGGGGCAAGTCTTAATTCTCTCCTCACTTCACCAACAAAAGCAGAAAATACGTCATTGTTGTTTTAACTTGTATTTCTTTTGTTACTCTGGAGGTTGGACTTTTTGCCTTATATTTATTCTCTCTGCACATGTATTTTTTTTTTTTGAGAGGGCATCTCTCATATTTATTGATCAAATGGTTGTTAACAACAATAAAATTCTGTACAGGGCGGTCAATGCTCAATGTACAATCATTAATCCATCTCAAGCCTAATTCTCATCAGTGTCCAATCTTCTGAAGCATAACGAACAAGTTCTTACATGGTGAACGAATTCTTACATAGTGAATAAATTCTTACATGGTGAACAGTACAAGGGCATTCATCACAGAAACTTTCGGTTTTGATCACGCATTATGAACTATAAACAATCAGGTCAAATATGAATATTCGTTTGATTTTTTTTTTATCATTTTGGATTTTACCTTTTTTATTTTATTTTTTCTTTTTGAGAGGGCATCTCTCATATTTATTGATCAAATGGTTGTTAACAACAATAAAATTCAGTATAGGGGAGTCAATGCTCAATGTACAATCATTAATCCATCTCAAGCCTAATTCTCGTCAGTCTCCAATCTTCTGAAGCATAACGAACAAGTTCTTACATGGTGAACGAATTCTTACATAGTGAATAAATTCTTACATGGTGAACAGTACAAGGGCATTCATCACAGAAACTTTCGGTTTTGATCATGCATTATGACCTATAAACAATCAGGTCAAATATGAATATTCGTTTGATTTTTGTACTTGATTTATATGTTGATCCCACATTTCTCCTATTATTATTATTATTTTTATTTTTAATAAAATGCTGAAGTGGTAGGTAGATGCAAGATAAAGGTAGAAAACATAGTTTAGTGCTGTAAGAGAGCAAATGTAGATGATCAGATGATCAGGTGTGTGCCTATGGACTAAGTATTAATCCAGGCTAGACAAGAGCAGCAAGACATCCACGGATGCAGAAGATTTCTCTCAAAGCAGGGGGGTGAGGTTCTGAGCCTCACCTCTGTTGATCCCCAAATTCTCACCTGATGGCCCCCCTGCGTGCACATGTATTTTTTTTTATTGCCTGTTTATATCATTTTTTTCCTTTTGGACTTCTCATGTTTTTCTTACTGATGTGCAATAGCTGTTTATGTATATTATGTATATGAAATGGGTTTCATATGTTACAGATACTGTCCCTGCTTGTCATTTGCCTACTGGTTGTGTTTCCTGTGCCAGTTCTGCCTGAGAATCACAGGACAGCCTTGCAGAACCCCCAGCATGGTAAGTGAAGTAGGAAGGAGGGCCTGAGAGCAGTGGCTGGAGAGTTAGACACAGGCCAGGTCCCCTGAGGCTGGCTAGTCACACAGAGGACCCAGGAGGTTCTACTGAAGAGGGAGAGATTTAAACACACCCAGGGAGTGAAACCTCCAGGTCTGGCTTTCTAATGGGGATATGAGAGTGGTGGAGGTGACATGCACAAGACTCAGACTTCTGGCCTAGAGAGGAGGACAGAGGGTCTCGAACTGGGTGAGGGCCACTGTGGAAGCATGTGTGGAAGGAAGATGATGAATGTTAGAGCTGCTGTCTTTGCAGTGTCTGCACACCCAGGTTTAACTGGCCTTTGGAGCCCCACAGCTGAGTACGTGGTGGCACGTAGTAGATTGCCTAGAGGGTCAAGTTTAACTAAAAGTAATTCATTGCCAGCTTTCATCAGATATGATGTTCTCCTCTTTGGTATCTTTCACCTCTGTGCCTGATGCCAGTAGCCTCACAGCTAATTTTAATAATCTCCATTCTGCTTCTTCAGAACCCACAGATCCTAAAGAGACTAAGGCCACAGATAACATTCCCATTACCTCTGGCTAAGGGTCAGGATTTTCCTTGGGGCCTTGTTTATTTTCCTTTCCTGCCTTGGGGTTAGTGTGGGCCTTCCTGACTAAGGTAAGTGTTTCTAGAGTTCTGCATGGATTTGCGGATAGAATCAACCAAGTGGTTTTTGCCAATTTTCAGTCTTGAGCCCCTTCCTTGGCTCAGGGGAAGCAGCTCGTGGTGGACTCTTTCAGTCTCAGGTGAATTGGAGTCTCTAGAGAAGCCACTGCTCAGATCAATAGTGGCATGAACTGCCATTGGCACACAGGCACATCTGGGGAGCTGCAGGCCATCCTGGTGGGTGTTGGGGATGGGAGAAACAGTGTGCTAGTTCTGGGGGAAAACAAAGGTAAGGGGTTTGTTGGGTGAGTGGGTGTGGGTTGGAAAGAGGGGAGTATAAGAGGGAGGGAACTTCACAGAAAAGCTTGCAGGAAATTCAGAATGTAAATTCATAATCCTGCAGTTCTCAGTATTTACAGCTATTATAAAACTCACATTTGGCTAATTCTACAAGTCATTAAGCATCTACTACTAGCTGTACTGGACTTGTGATTACATTAGAGCTCTATGAGCAATGAAAACTCTCTTGCATGTTGAATGGCCTGACAATCAATCTCAGGATGGTTAGTATGGGTAGAAAGGGCAGGTGCATTGGTTCTCTGCCTGAGATACCTGGGATGTGTGTGTGCATCAAATCTCCATTTGCCCATTCCATGGACATGTCCAAAGATGCTGCAGCCTGCTAAGCCAGCTTTGCCCTGGGTGCTGGAGATGGGTTGGAGGTGCAGGAAGACAAGAATATGGGCTACCCCTTAAGTAAACTTGGCATCCTTCTGCTATTTCATACTCCTCTTCTTTTTCATTTACACTTAAAACACTATTAGCATCTATTTTGTGCCATGCTGTTCCAGACATGGACAACTCAGATATGAATAAAACACTGCCCTTTCCCAGGAGAAACCGATGAGCAAGAAGAGGCAAAAGGCACAGAGAAACTTGCAGTTCCATGCCATTCTCTTTACACAGATGAATGGACGAAGTCCTATGGGGCCATAAAAAAGGAGGCTAGTAAGTCCTTGTGTTGGGGCTTTGGAGAATTCTGTGCAATGCAGACTTTTACAGGTAAGAGGAAAGTGTGGGGGGAAACGCGCTGAGGCAGAGGGAGCAGCAGTGTCTGCACATCCGTGAGGCAGAGCCTGCAGACAGTGGTCGGAGCACAGGGTGCCCAGCGAGAGGTGCCAGAGCAGGGGGTGGAAATGTAAGAAGGCTACAGCTGAGGATGAGGTTGAGCTATGTGTGTGCATTTTCTGCCGCAGAAAGAAGTACTGCCTGTTGGATCATGTTAGGGTGTGTGTCGAGAGGGCTCTGGAAGCCCATGCAGAAGTGGACATGGCATAGAGTGCTCCTTCTGACCCTTTAACAAGCCTCGGCACTAGAAACTGGAGAGCTTATCCTATCAGCTTTTTACTCCATTTCATTATCAACATCAAATATTTATGCAGCCTCCATATAAATATGTGGGAAATGAGCCTCCCTGTTGGTAAGGGGTAGAAGGTACAGAGGTTAATCAAAAGCCGCAGTTCTTGGGTCCTTAGGCTGCCAATTAAAAATGAATACCCTGGAGTGAAAAGATCTGAAAAGAATTAATAGTGGGACAGACACATATTTGCTAATCACATGTTAGCTACAAGGCTTTGCTATTCTCTTTCATTTTGTGTGCACCTTAGCACAGTAGCTTTCAAACATTTCTGACTGTGACCCATATAAGAAATACATTTTATGCCATGACCCAAAACCTATACAAAAATCTCACCAAGTACTATTGAGATGCACTCTGATATTTTATATCCTTTTTTATTATTTTTTAAAATGCTGGTCACTGACCCTCTATATCAGTTCCATGACCCACAGCTGAGTATAATTTGCAGCTTGAAAACTCCTGTCTTCCCATGTCTTTCTGTGTAGGGGAGGGGAATGAGATCACAGGTCAGGAGGTGAAAGGGTGAGCATGTCCATACTGGGAGAAGGGGCAGCATGAGAAATCGCCACAGTAAATTCATATGCCTGAAGAGGAGAATGAATGATCAAGTGGGCTTCACTATGAAGGAAGATTTATTTGCTCCAAGTTACACTATAATTTCTTTGTATCTGGTAAAGGTGTAGAGGGCATTGCTGAACCTGTGCTGCATGAAACATTTTGAGATAATTTTAAAAGATATTCCTTAAAAATATTCTTGAGTGGTGAAATACATTTGGGAAATGCTAAAATTTTATATCCCCAATTTGGATGGACACAAAGCATATTAAAAAGCTGAAAACATTCCCACTAACAAAATCATTTTATCCTTTATAAAATAAATCCAGGTTTTCACTTATTCAAGAACCATTCCTGTTCTGTGGAACGCCTATAACCATTTTGCAGACCAGTTTGGGAAATGCATGTGTGGACAGGCATCCTTACCGAAGACAAAGTAACGGGTGCAGGAGTGAGAGGTTAAAGTCCATGGGGGCCGCCCTCCTTGTGAAGAATCTAAGCCAGGCAGACGGTGTCTTGCCAGTGGGTTTTAGTCCCTGACAAGTTCACTCTTGATTCAGTGAGACTGAAAAATGACAATGGAATGTTCTTGGAGTAAAAGGGTTTATAACCAACTTTATTCCCTTGGTGGTAGGTCAAGCACTGGAACCCTGTCTGCCTCAGAGTGAGTCTGCATGCAACAAGCTGGTCTCTGCCCCAGGGCCTTTCCGCCCGGACAGCCATCTCATTCTCTGTCCTTGGCACTGCCAACACTCCAGCCTCTGCTATCCTGCAGCTGAGCAGCCCAGAGCACTGGGCGGGGCTCTTTATACAGAGTCAGTAATAATGTATTGCCCACACATGTGTAGTGAGCAAGCCAGCCAGGGTCATGTGAAAAACCTGGCCATAGAAACTTTCATTTTCTCTACAGACGGTTTCTGTAAAGGGCCAGATGATAAAGATTTTATGCTGTGTCGTCCATTGTTCTCTGTTGCAACTGCTTAGCTCTGCCATTGTACCGGGAGAGCATCCATGGGCAATACATAAGGGAGTGGGCAGTGTTTCAATTCCGCTTTATTTATGGACACTGAAATTTGAATTTCATATGATTTTCCTGTATCAAAAAATCTTATTCTTCATGTTTTTCCCCAACCCTTTAAAAATGTAAACACCATTCTTAACCCATGGGTTATACAAAAATAGGCAGGGGATTACATACTTGGTCACAAGTCATAGTTTGCCAGCCACTGGTCTAAATCTTTAGGTACTTGCCTGTCTGCAACTCAAAGGAAAAATCCAAGACAGCTGGAATGATTCCTTCCTCTCCCCAGCTGAAATACCTTGCTGAAGTAGCCCTAACCTAGGGAGAAAGAAACCCCCATGTGTGTAAACTGCTCATGCCCTACATATTTCTGTTGTCAGTTTTAAACTTGTTTTTCCATCCTATCCTGGTAAGAGACTTGTATGGCTTGGCCTAGGCCCTCTTTGGAAGGCTTCCTTGCCCCCACAGCTGTTTGGGGCTCCTCACCTATCTCCCATCCATCATGGTGTATCTTTGGGACCCTCTTGCCCTGCACCCCCATATCTGATGGCTACTCTGACTGGCAGCTGCTCAGGGCTGTTTCTTCTCACCAGAGGAAAACTTCTTTGGAGCCTCAAATCTTAAGAGAAATGAATTTTGATTTTACATTCTACTCCATGACACTTACTCTAATATAAAAGTAATGTGTTTCCTCCCAGGAAAGTATTCTAGTAAAATCAACGCTCCACGAAGGGACATGCTCACCTGGTTTGAATATCAGCTTCTGGCACAGGACCACTTACCCAGGTATAGAAGCAGAGGACTGCATCTGATCCTCCCCTTTCACATATAGTGTTTGCAATTTCAGTTTGGCACAGAATTCCAGCAACCCAGATGCATGGGAATTCAGCCAGACTCAAAGTGAGAACCAGTCTATGGTTCATTAAAGAAGCATTGTCAGCCCCAACTGGCCATGTTTTCCATTCAAACCAAAATTTGCTTTGAATGAAGAAGGAAAGCAGGGGTGCTTTACAAAGGATGAAAGACAAAGGGACTTTATTATGTTCTTTCTTACTTGTGTGATATCAGAGCAAGATATGACCAGGAGAAATGAGTCCTTCAGAAAACCCTAGAGATATTGGTAGGGATGGAGGTGGGAGTAGCAGAGCTCTAATTTTTCCCCTAATTATGAAGGGATTTCTGCCTTTAAAATTAAATATCAAGGATCAGGAAGCTTCCAGATGGCTGGAGGACATATGAGCAATTAATACCTGGGTTACAACTGTGTCCTCCCCAGGAGAAGGGAGAATATTATTAGAAGTCAGTTGTATTAGTTATGGTAACACTGCCAACTAAGCAAACCCCTAAACATAATAA